GCTCCCTCAATGTTCTCGTTTCATGAGCCATAGTAATTGGCTCTTCAGTCTCGTTAGATTGAGAACTAGCACTTGATGATTCCCCCGAAGAAGTATTCGGAAATAAATTCCTAAACCTTTCGAAGGCTTGTTCCGTTTGGGGGTTTGTTTGGTAGATGATTTCGTTTATAGATCGGGTTCTTACCATATACTCAAACAAAGCTCAGAAGAAATGGAACTCTTTATACTTCAAATAATTTTTTTTTTTTTTTTTTTTTTTTTTTTTTTTTTAAGAAAATAAAAATTAATTGTCCTTCCCCGGCAACGGCGCCAAATTTGACGTACACTTTGTCGTGTGTGCACTCAAAATAAATTTCAATACTAGCACTAATACGTAGTATAGCGTAGTAGAGTTCGTATCCACAGGGAAAAGAATAATTTATCTTTTTAACGAAAGGAGTAAATAGAGGGGGGTTTTGTTTGTTGAGTGATTTAATTAAATTAAACACGAAGATGAACGAGTTATATGTGATTTAATTCAAAGATAAAAAGGACTTGGCATTGCTACTTTCCACTTGTTGATATATTTCAGTCGATCATTGTTATATCTATAACTTATCTCCTCTCGAATACTCAATCGAGGAGTATATCCAATTCATCGAGGAAAGTTATTAACAACGACCGTTCATTAATAACCCTTACTATTAGTCAAGTATAGAACAACGCCATATACCTACTTGATAGTAGCATTTAATCTCTTAACTCCTTGATGAAATCAATTGAGATTGATAACCTCAACACAACGGTTTTGGTTTAACCAACAAAATTAATCCCTCTTAAGTTTACTAACCACGACCGTGCATTAATAAACCGAAGTTACTTACTTGTGAAACCATCAACGATTAACCATCGGTTCGTTGATCGTTTCTAGTAATAATTAATATTTGAAACAAAACTAGTTGATCCTTTAAGTAATGTTCAAAAATATTAATATGAAATATGAATAGGAATTAATTAATACTCAAGGAAGAATATTAAGGAAAATGAATCCTACTATAGTTAATATCAAGGTGTTAACTAATTGTCATCTTAGTAACACTCCCCAATATTAACATAGAGGAAGGAATAGCTATTACTAAGACCAATGTCAAGATGTTAACTAATTGTCATCTTAGCAACACTCCCCAACATTGATATAGAAATAGTATTTAAGAGAAGCATTAATATTCAAGGAAAGAAGTTAAGAAAATAACTCACAACTTTAATAATCAACAAGCTTCAAGAGCAACACCAAGAAATGGAAGTTTAGCTCCTCATTTGGAGACTAAACATGATAAAATATAAAGAAAGAACTTGTCTAAACTGAGCTTAGAAGTATAAAGGAATTGGTGTCCCTCTTGTGGAGGAAATGGGGTGTATTTATAGGCTTTTTAGGCCTGCAGGGTCGTGTACCCGATCGGGTTTTCAGCTCAACCGATCGGGTAAGGGTTAGTTTCCTCGAAACTGAAAATCTGGGGTCATACCCGATCGGGTATGTCGGCTACCCGATCGGGTATGGATACGCGATCGAGTTAAAAATCTTCCTGCATGTTGCCTTGTTCCCGGGTTGATTCGATTTGACTTTTCAGCCACTTACCCGATCGGGTATAGAGCATACTCGACCGGGTACACTACCAAAAATCAGAATCTTCATCTTTTCTTGAAATCTTTGCACCTTCCTTCCATTTGTGATGTTTACCAATGGTCCCTAGAGTGGTCTTGGACCTGTTTGAGCTCAGAACCAACCTAATCTAAATAATTTACAAACATTTTACAAACTAAACAATTACACCAAAAGTGTGTAATTTCTAGAGTAACAATCACTCAAAACTAATCAAAAACACAAATATAAACATGGAAATAACATGAATGTCAATATTACATATTTTCCGCCACTAATGTAAAGTCTAGATCCGCCACGATATCAAATTCTTAGGATACTATATATTTTCCATATTTCCCAATAAAAAAAATTTACAATTCAATTCTAACTCTGAGCATTGAGCATATCATATAATGCACGTTGGGTTGAATTTTTAAAATTGGTGATATTCTGACTAAAGTTGGTGAATAAGTTAAATATGTTCAATTGTATAAAATTATATTAAAAATATATTTTACTAATGAAACAAATAAAAAATTTGATGTTAATAAATTAAATAATTAAAATAGTCATCTTCAATAATTTCAGTCAACTCAACAACAACAAAATAATTTTAACATTACTTATTTTAATTAAAGGGTAATTTGAGTTTGCACCCCATTTTATTATGCAAATTGGACTTTGCACCTCATTTTTAAACAACTTTGTTTTTGTACCCCAATCCCATATGAAAAGACAAAATTGTCCATCCATTAACAAATTTCTTGTTCTTCAACATATTCCTAATTGGGGGCATTTTTGTATTTTCATATGGCGTTGGGGGTGCAAAAACAAAGAGTTTTAAGAATGAGGTGCAACATCCAATTTGAACGATAAAAAGGAATGCAAACTCAAATTATCCCTTTAATTAATATACAACTCAGACCACATAATACAATACCACTTGGCTTAGATCACACATGTTCATGACTTCATGTGCTATGAATCGAAGAAAAAATCAATGAACTGTTAAATAGCTGTTTAATTAATTGCACTTTTATACATGAATGTAATGAATTTCGTTAATTACTTGTTTCATCGTTAAGCATGAAGGCTAGAAGATCGAACATGAAGATTGGTCGGGAATTAATCAAGCATATACTCCGTATATAACAAAACTGATGCTTATAATTACGTAGTGCTATCGTATTAATTAAAGCAAACTTTATGGTATCTTATGTGGACCAACTAATCAAAATAGTGCTAATTAGCAATCTATAATTAGCAATCTATAATTAAATTAGTTCTAATTTAAGTAACACAATCTAAACTGATTTGCATCCCGTGATTAAAAATCTCAAAAATAGAAACTAATTCAAATTCATCAAACCGCGTGATGATACTCCGACAGAGGAGGCGGTGGCGTACTACTAACACAGCACAAAACGGCGGCGTTTTCCCTCATCATCGCCGCCGTCTCCAGCTCGTCAACCCTGAGCGCCGCCTTCTTCCTCAGCTCTTCCAGGGCGGCCGTGTACTCTTCCAGTTCCTTCAAACCCATGCCCTCTATCGGCATGTCCCACCAGCGGGCCCCACCACTCTCGCCTTCCCTCTCATCCGCCTTCTCCTTCTCCTTCTCCTTCTCCTTCTCCTTCTCCTTCTCGGCCTCCAGCTCGAGACACGCCTGCTGGTAGAGCTGCTCGCTCCTCCTCAGTAGAGGGTCGTCGGGCAGCCATTCAGGAGGGGCGGTGGCGCCAGAGAGGTAGTGGTCAATGACAGCGTCGGGTTTCGGGTGGCCGAATACGAACACGCGTTTGCCGCCGTAGGATTCGATGATGGCGGCGATGTGGGTGCCGCAGAGGATGCAGAGCTCGCAGGCTTTGTTGAAGAGGCCGAGGCGTCTCTTGGAGAAGGCCACGTGGCGGTGGTTGACATCTTCTATCTTCTTGATATCAATTTTCCGGCGGCCTTGAGTTTTCTTCCTCTTGCTTTCCATGGCAGTAATTTAATTATGAGCAAATGGGTATACCATGCAAATATCTTACCATGATAGTATATATATATACTCCTTCCAGTCCGGCCACTCTGTTCCAGTAATATATACTACGATCCTATATAGTCTTCCAGTTTTGTTTTAAAAGTAATTTAATGAGAAATCGATACATACATCATATTTTTGGGAACTTTTAGAAGTGCAACCCTTAAACATGTTACTACGTGTGTCAGAGCTATAATGTGCACGGTGCACATGTGGCATGAGAGACAGCTACATAAATATTATCAAATGAATTATCTCTCTCCTTATTTATATGATTTTATACAATTTTGGTAAGTTTTTCTCTGCAATGTCAACAACAATGTCAACATCTAGACGGTCTCCTTGACATTGTGGAGAAAAACTTACCAAAATTTTATAAAATCATTCAAATAAGGAGAGAGATAATTTATTTGCTAATATTTATGTGGCTATCTCTCATGTCACATGTGCACCGTGTACATTGTAACATTGGAGATGCTCTTATACTCTAATACTCTAATACACACATTTAATTCAATATTATGATTCTCTATCTTGATCGAAATTGCTTTTCTAATTGAATTAGCTGAAGTTACTATGAAGTACTTTGTGTCATTTTACCTATTTTCATGTAATTTTTTCTTTAATCCATTAATAAATTATATTTTAAATGTGGAGTATATAGTTTTTCCATAATTCAACACATTCAGCTGCTTTAGCCAACATTTCATCAATTTCAGTCAAATTCAACCAACTTTGGTATAAATAAACAGTCCTGATTATGAAGAGGCCGGGTGTTTGGATCCACTTAAACTACTTTTGCTCTTTGAGGGAGCAGAAGCAGGTATTGGAGTATTTGGATGAAAATGTTGTAGATGCTCCAAATTATTCTCACAAGCAGTTTTTTAGAAGTTTTTAGAAATTGATCTGATCATATCTTGCTCTATTTTGCTTTTAAAAAAGATGCAAAAGTATAATCATATCCAAACAATTCTTATGGTAATATAATAGTACCCCACATTTTGAGGAGAGTAGGACGAGGAATGGTCCAGTTTAGCTAACCGTCAGACACTCGCTCTCCCTTACAGGAGATTTCAGGTTCAAAATTTTATGCATGGAGTTTTCAGACCCCAGTCTTCTCCCGGCCCCTTCCTCTTGACCGCGGGCTAAAAGATGATAAAAGGATATAAGGGCAATTTCATCCATTCACAATCTGTTATTCCTCAAGAAATACTAACCCTATAATAACCCCTTTCGTGAATTTTTGAATATATATATATGTATATATATATATTTCTAGGGAAAATTCCAGAAACAAGAGTTTTAAATTAATAGGCCCGACAGAGGAGCGGCCCATTATCCCTTAGCAAGAGAACCATTAAAGCCAAATTTGGGTGCGGTCCAGCAAGAAAACTAGACAGACGCTCGTCTAGTGATCTAGGACGCTCAGCCTTTGTAGCTTTGGCTAAAGAGATCTAGCTGACGATCCAAGAGGCTCGGGGAGAGAAGCCGGCGTAGGCCGAGCGAAGTCCCATCCTTGTGCGTACTTGGGCCCAGAACTAGAAGATTAGGGGGCGTTCGTCTAGGCTTTTGGCAGGAAAGCAGAATATTGGCCGGAAATGCATTTAATGCAGTAGATCTGGTGGTTAAGAAGTTAGCCACTCAAGAATCTCCACTTCATCACTATCTGAAAATAGAAATACACCTAAGAGGGGGGTGAATTAGGTGTCCTTAAAAATTTGTGCCTATTAAGTGCGGAAACAAACAGATGACTATTTAGAAGTTTTGCAAGAGAAAATAAAGAGAAGTGCAAAAGAACAGATTTGTGTGTGCACAGATATACAAAGTAACGTAAGATAGCAAGTAAAGTACACAATGATTTATAGAGGTTCGGCTAATCCTACTCCTCTACCTAAGGGCACCTCCCTTAGGATTTCCAAATCCACTAATATGGCCTCCCTTGAAATCAAGAAGAGCACCACCTAAAGTTTTGGCAAACAAACCCTTGCCAATAGGTGTTGAGTTTTACAAGGGGCTAACTCACAACCTCGTTGGTTTTACAAGAGGATCAACCAAAAACCTCTACAAATGGTTTTACAGGAGGATCAACCAAAAACCTCACTACAGTTGGTTTTACAAAGGGTTAACCAACAACCTAAGGATTGGTTTTAGGAAAACCAAACAAAACCTTACAAATGAGTATAAAGTAATACAAGAACAGTTTTTTATCTCGTACTCACAAGCAAGAATATAAAGATTTTATGCTTGACTTGAGTAGAGAATACAATACACAAAAAGATAGCAAAAGAATTAATTAAGATCAATGTGTATTGTTCAAACCAGAATAGCTCTCAAAAGGTTTCTTAAGTTTTCAAAAATATTTGAGAGTGATTGAACTTAAGAGAACACTAAGAATTCTGCAAAAAGAGTTTTAAAAATTTTAGCACAGCAGATTTTATGAAAGAATGAAGAACGAAGTGTATAGAGCTTTTTGAGAATGCTAAAGTGTGTTGCTTGATCGTTCTCTGGTTTACTTGGTGTATACTCTTGGTGTTTTTAAACGTTTGGGAACTATTTGCAATATATAGCAGGGCATTTTGTATTAATAGATGGAAAGAATAATTCAAAATTAATCACAAGAATAAGTTTGGAAACTGGATCGGAGAGATTAAATTTCCAACAGCCTCAATCGATCCCTAATTTGATTTCCAACGGTCTGAACATATTCTGAAAAAAAATCCCAGAAAGGAAACTCGAGAACCGTACTGATAAGAATGTAAAAAAAAGTGTAGCGATCTGCTGCTTTAAAAGCGGGCTGGAAGTTGCCATGTTTAGCGACCTACTGCTTTAAAAACGAGATGGAAGAGCAACGAAGAAAGCTTACCAAGTTTAGCGACCTGCTGCTTCAAAGGCGGGCTGGGAGTTGTACGCAACTGGAGAAGAAAATCAGGATGTTTTAAGAGTTTGGAATAAGGGCCTTTGAAGGGCTGGTAGGAAGAAATCCCTAAATTTCGGAAGGAGTTTTGAGAAAAGAATGAAAGTGCTTAGTAGGTGGGGAAGACTTAGAAATAAAAGACTCGGCTGCAAGAAAATAAGGGGTTTATTAAATTATAAAAAAAATCTCATTAAGTTAATAAATCAGTTTGAGAGCTATTCGAATGTTTGCAATCCACATTAGTCTTAATTAATGGTGTTCTCTATCATTTTAGGAAGACTATATTAGTGGATTATTTTGACAATGGATACCTGCAGTCACTTAGCACACATATTAGCTTCATTATTTGTAAACATAAAAAAATGTTATTAGCACAAGTCGGCTAACAATCTCCCCCTTTTTTATGTTGACAAAAAATGACTTCAAGAGGGTATGAAACACAGAGCATATATGAAAAAAAACAGCAAGCTCCCCCTCACTTGATGATTATAACTCACTCCCCCATACAAAGAGCATCTCTTTCCTCTTTTTGATTGACGTAGAGTAAATAAATTTCTCCTTTTTATGAACATGTGACTTGAAGTCGACATATTTCTCCCCCTTTGTCAATATCAAAAATAGAGGGTCATTGAGATAAAAGCAATGGCAAAAGAAACGGATACCAAATTATAATTGTAAGTAAACACACGAGGCACGTTATGGAATGTTGGGACCGTGTTTTGATCATGTTAATGAGAAACTAAGTATAGAAAACACTGTTGTTCGTCCACATCTTGATCACAACACTCCGAAACTTGATCTTGATGCTATTATCACTGTGCTCGATCCCGTTGATCCTTGAATTTTGACATTCATATCCGCATCTGCAGGCTGCTGACTTTTAACTCTTTGGGAGCCAATACCATTATGTTTGGATTCTCCAGGGGCTGAACTTTTGAGCCTCTTGAGGACTAGTGTTTTCCATACTTAATTTTAACAGACCAGTACTCACTAAGTCCCATTTGTATAGACTTTAACTGGGAATTACTTTAATTTAATTCAAGCATCCCCAATTCTCGTCTTAGAAAACAAAAACGTGCAGTATCTAGCGGTTTAGTGAATATATCCGCTAGCTGGTACATGGTGTCAACATACTCAACAGAAATGTTTCCTTTTTGCACATGATCACGAATAAAGTGATGACGAATCTCAATATGTTTAGTTCGTGAGTGCAAAACAGGATTTTTGGAAATATTAATAGCACTAGTATTATCACAGTAAATAGGCACATTTGAAAACTTCAAGTTATAGTCATTTAGTGCTTGGACCATCCATAAAATTTGAGCAACACAACTACCCAAAGCAACATACTCTGCTTCAGCAGTAGATATGGCAACCGAGTTTTGCTTTTTGGATGACCAGGACACTAAAGAGTGACCAAGAAACTGACAAGTACCACTAGTACTCTTCCTATCAACTGTACATCCAGCATAATCAGCATCACTATACCCGACTAAGGAGAAATTGGATCCCTTTGGATACCAAAGTCCTAGGTTGGTTGTGCTTTTAACATATCGAATGATACGTTTAATGGCCACAAGATGTGATTCTTTTGGACAAGATTGATAGCGAGCACAAACACAAACAGCATACATAATATCAGGACGAGAAGCAGTCAAATAAAGTAAACTACCAATCATACCTCTATAGACCTTTTCATCACTGGGTTTACCATCCTCATCTTTGTCAATTTTAATGGACGTGCTCATAGGAGTTTCAAAGTTTCTGCCATCTTGTAGATTAAACTTTTTAACTAGCTCCTTGGCATACTTTGCTTGACTCACAAAGGTTCCTTCTTTCGTTTGTTTGATTTGAAGGCCGAGGAAATATGTAAGCTCACCCATCATACTCATCTCAAACTCACTGGTCATGACTTTTGAAAATTCTTCACAAAGAGCAAGGTTAGTAGAACCAAATATGATATCATCGACATATACTTGAACTAACATAATATCATTACCCTTTGTGCGTACAAACAATGTTGAGTCAATTTGCCCTTTTGAAAAACCATTTTCAAGAAGATATTTTGAAAGTCTTTCATACCAAGCACGTGGGGCTTGTTTTAAACCATAGAGGGCCTTATTAAGCTTGTATACATGGTTTGGAAAATTGATATTTTCAAAACCAGGGGGCTGCTCCACGTAAGCCTCCTCTTTTAGGATTCCATTCAAAAAGGCACTTTTAACGTCCATTTGAAAAAGTTTAAAATCCATGTAACAAGCATAAGCAAGAAGCATCCGAATAGACTCTAACCTAGCAACTGGAGCAAAGGTTTCCTCATAATCAAGTCCTTCAACCTGATTATACCCTTTAGCAACAAGTCGGCTTTTATTGGTGATTATCTCACCATTTTCATCCAACTTATTTCTAAAAACCCATTTGGTCCCAATAACTGGATGGTTACTTGGTCTTTCAACCAATTCCCATACATTATTGCGTTCAAATTGGTCTAGCTCCTTTTGCATGGAAATTATCCATTCATCATCACTTAATGCTTCCTCTATATTTTTGGGCTCAAACTGACTAATAAATGCATAATAAGCACAAAGATTAATGTTACCTCTTGTTCTTACACCTTTTGATATGTCACCAATGATATTTTCAGAGGGATGGTCCTTCAAGTGCTTGAATGCTTTAGGAAGATCAATATGATTATTCTGGCCAGCTGGGTTCCGATGCTCATCTGCAAGCTCTATTTCAACCGGATTGTCAAATTGAGAGCTCTCTTCTTCTTGTTCATCATCTGAAAGATTAACTTCCTTTCTCGGCTTAAATGGGTCAGTTTCATCAAATTCAACATGTAAAGATTCTTCTACACATCTAGAAGACTTATTAAAAACTTTATAAGCTTTACTAACCAGAGAGTAGCCAAGGAAAATACCTTCAGAAGACTTAGCCTCAAACTTACCAAGCTGATCTTTAGTGTTCAGAATATAGCACTTACATCCAAATACTTTGAAGTATGAGATGTTTGGAGCTCTTCCTTTCCATAGTTCGTAGGGTGTCTTTTTAAGAATTGGACGCAACAGCACTCTATTTAACATGTAACAAGCTGTTTGTATAGCTTCTCCCCAAAAGTATTGTGGCAGCTTGTGTTCATTGAGCATAGTGCGTGTCATCTCTTGTAGGGTTCTATTCTTTCTCTCAGCCACGCCATTTTGCTGAGGAGTTCTTGGGGCAGAAAGATTGTGATCAATACCATGATCATCACAGTAAGCTGAAAATTCAGAATTTCTGAATTCTCCTCCCCTGTCACTCCTTATGCAAGTGATTGTGTACCCTTTCTCATTCTGGATCCTTTTACACAACTTAGCAAACACATTAAATGCATCATATTTGTGGGCAAGTAAACGAGTCCAAGTAAATCTAGAATAATCATCTACAATCACATAAACAAACTGAGCACCCCCGAGGCTAACTACATCAACTGGTCCAAAAAGGTCCATGTGTAGTAATTGTAAGGGGCGTGAAGTGGAAACAACATTCTTTGGTTTAAAAGAAGTTCTGTGTTGTTTCCCCAGTTTACATGCATCACAGAATTGCAACTTGGCAGATTTCATAAAAGGTAAACCAACAACAAGATTATTGGAGGACAATTTAGCAAGTAAATCAAAACTAGCATGTCCTAATCTCCTATGCCACAGAAAAGCATCATCATGCATAGAAGTAAGACAAGTAGCATGTGAGAAATCATCACAAGAGAATTTATACAAATTACCATCACGGTTAGCAACAAAAAGCACATTATTACTATCTCTATCAAAGAAGGTGCACGCATTGGAATTAAATACAACTTTATGACCATCATCACATAACTGACTGATGCTCAACAGATTATACTTAAGACCATCAACAAGTAAAACATCTTTAATCGTAGTAGAATCAGAAATACTTACCTGTCCCTTACCAATGACCTTCTTCTTTGTTTTGTCTCCAAGTGTGACATTTCCACCATCTTTGGAGATTAAAGTTTTAAACCAGGAAGAGTCACCAGTCATATGTCTTGAGCATCCACTGTCTACTATCCATGTTGTGTTCTTGATGCTCAAGTGAACCTAGAAAAACAATTTAAGTCTTTGAACGAGGTACCCACTTAATGTTGGGTCCTTTCATGTTAGTTTGGGAATTCTTGACCACCCATCTTGGTCTCTTCCAAGTTGGAAGCTTGTTCCCCATCTCAACCAGTGTCTTTACGTTGCAATTTGTCACAACATGACCCGACTTCATGCAATAGTGACATGATTTCAAAGGTGCTTTTGAGTTGTTCTGATTGGAAGATGGTTTTACAAATCCATTTACTTTATTAGAAAAATAATTTGTGGTGATATCAATGACTTTAGGATCATCTTCAAAACCAAGACCCTTCTTATTTGTGTAAGGAATCTGTGAGTCCCACACAGCCTCTTGAATAGGCCTAATATGAAAGAGCTTGTTCAGAGAGTGACTTTGTTGGTCACTGATTTTCTTAAGATTATCATATTCTTTAATTAGAAAGTCGTTTTTGGTGATAAGCTCAAGTTTTTCTTTTTTCAGAATTTCATATTTAGTTTGTAAATCCTTGAGCTTCTTTCTCAAAATTTTCTTTTCTTCCAGTGTTTGGAACAAATCAGTTTGACATTGCTCAAAAGCATCTCTAATCTCATCAAAAGAGAAACTATGAGAGGAAGAATAAGATGCACAGGAGTTTACCTCATCATCATGAGCCATGTGGCAGAAGTTAGCATGTTCATCATCAGATTGTTCTGGATCAGAAGACTCAACATCTGAATTCAGGTCATCCCAAGTAGCTTGAAGAGCTTTACCCTTATGTTTTCTACCAACAACTTGTTGTTTCTTGCTTGCAGGTTGCTTCTTCAACTTGGGGCAGTAGGCTTTTGTGTGACCTGGTTCACCACACTCAAAACAATGAAAAGAATTAGAATTACTATTCTTTCCCTTTGCAGCAATTTTGTTTGAGTTTCTATCCTTATTCCACTTCACAAACTTCTTGTAGCGTTTGAACAAGGCTTGCTCATCTTCTTCACTCTCCTCTTCACTTTCCAGGAAGATTTCAGCAGTCTCTTTTCCTTTACTTTGCATCCTGGAACTGGAAAAGTTATTGTGTTGCTTCTTATGGCTTTTCTGATTATCACCTTTTTCTTGATTTGCCTTCAAGGCAAGAGTTATGTGTGTTGGTCTGTCGTTGGCTTCATCAGTGCGTTGCTTAGCTAAGTATAGTTCGTGAGATATCAAAGAACTCCATATACTAGCCGTAGACAACTTAGTACACTGAGGGGTTAGATTTACAACAATATTCTCCCAATCTTTGGGTAATGAAAACAAAATTTTTAAATTAACTTCACGAGAAGTATAGTTCTTACCCAACTTACTCAGAGAGGAGAGAATGTCATTAAAACGCTTACTCATGTCCTGGATAGATTCATTTGGTCTCATTCTGAAACTTTCATACTCAGAAGTTCCAAGAGCTATCTTTGTTTGCTTTATTTGAGTATCACCTTCATGTGTAGTTTCCAGCATATCCCAGACCTCTTTAGCAGATTTGCATTGACTGACTCTGGAAAACTCATCTGGACCAAGAGAACAATGAAGTGCATTTATAGCTTTAGCATTGAGACTCAATTGTTTTTTGTCAATGTCATTTAGCTCATCCATCTCTTTTGGTACAGTTTTAGTACCTACAGTCTTACATGGAACATAAGGACCTTTAACAATTAAAATCCAAATATCATAACCCACAGATTGAATGTAATGTTCCATTCTCATTTTCCAATAGGAATAGTTTTCCCCATTGAAGAAAGGAGGTTTGGAGATGCTGTGAGAAGACATGAAAAAAAAATCACAGAAAGCTCAAAACACACAAATCACACAAGACACAGAAGAGTGGATCACTAGGTACAATTAAGCATTTATCTAGTAACCTGCTCTGATACCAATTGAAAATAGAAATACACCTAAGAGGGGGGTGAATTAGGTGTCCTTAAAAATTTGTGCCTATTAAGTGCGGAAACAAACAGATGACTATTTAGAAGTTTTGCAAGAGAAAATAAAGAGAAGTGCAAAAGAACAGATTTGTGTGTGCACAGATATACAAAGTAACGTAAGATAGCAAGTAAAGTACACAATGATTTATAGAGGTTCGGCTAATCCTACTCCTCTACCTAAGGGCACCTCCCTTAGGATTTCCAAATCCACTAATATGGCCTCCCTTGAAATCAAGAAGAGCACCACCTAAAGTTTTGGCAAACAAACCCTTGCCAATAGGTGTTGAGTTTTACAAGGGGCTAACTCACAACCTCGTTGGTTTTACAAGAGGATCAACCAAAAACCTCTACAAATGGTTTTACAGGAGGATCAACCAAAAACCTCACTACAGTTGGTTTTACAAAGGGTTAACCAACAACCTAAGGATTGGTTTTAGGAAAACCAAACAAAACCTTACAAATGAGTATAAAGTAATACAAGAACAGTTTTTTTTTATCTCGTACTCACAAGCAAGAATATAAAGATTTTATGCTTGACTTGAGTAGAGAATACAATACACAAAAAGATAGCAAAAGAATTAATTAAGATCAATGTGTATTGTTCAAACCAGAATAGCTCTCAAAAGGTTTCTTAAGTTTTCAAAAATATTTGAGAGTGATTGAACTTAAGAGAACACTAAGAATTCTGCAAAAAGAGTTTTAAAAATTTTAGCACAGCAGATTTTATGAAAGAATGAAGAACGAAGTGTATAGAGCTTTTTGAGAATGCTAAAGTGTGTTGCTTGATCGTTCTCTGGTTTACTTGGTGTATACTCTTGGTGTTTTTAAACGTTTGGGAACTATTTGCAATATATAGCAGGGCATTTTGTATTAATAGATGGAAAGAATAATTCAAAATTAATCACAAGAATAAGTTTGGAAACTGGATCGGAGAGATTAAATTTCCAACAGCCTCAATCGATCCCTAATTTGATTTCCAACGGTCTGAACATATTCTGAAAAAAAATCCCAGAAAGGAAACTCGAGAACCGTACTGATAAGGATGTAAAAAAAAGTGTAGCGATCTGCTGCTTTAAAAGCGGGCTGGAAGTTGCCATGTTTAGCGACCTACTGCTTTAAAAACGAGATGGAAGAGCAACGAAGAAAGCTTACCAAGTTTAGCGACCTGCTGCTTCAAAGGCGGGCTGGGAGTTGTACGCAACTGGAGAAGAAAATCAGGATGTTTTAAGAGTTTGGAATAAGGGCCTTTGAAGGGCTGGTAGGAAGAAATCCCTAAATTTCGGAAGGAGTTTTGAGAAAAGAATGAAAGTGCTTAGTAGGTGGGGAAGACTTAGAAATAAAAGACTCGGCTGCAAGAAAATAAGGGGTTTATTAAATTATAAAAAAAATCTCATTAAGTTAATAAATCAGTTTGAGAGCTATTCGAATGTTTGCAATCCACATTAGTCTTAATTAATGGTGTTCTCTATCATTTTAGGAAGACTATATTAGTGGATTATTTTGACAATGGATACCTGCAGTCACTTAGCACACATATTAGCTTCATTATTTGTAAACATAAAAAAATGTTATTAGCACAAGTCGGCTAACACTATCACCAACCTTTTGGTAGTATAAATAGTACTCCCTCCGTTCCAAAAAGGTTTGCCAAATTTCATTTTTTGGATGTCCCAAAAAGATTTGTCATTTCCATTTAAAGTAAGGAATATGAGGCTAAAGTTAATTCTCTCTCCTCTGCACAAATTTCAACCACACAATTTTTACTTTATTAATCCACGTGAAAGTCAAAGTTGACGAACCTTTTCGGGACGGAGGGAGTAGCATTTATTTTTTAGTTAGGGGTTGACAACATGTATTCTCTAGCAATTGCAATTATTCCCCCTCTTCCTAGCTCTGGTAGACGATCGGTCTAGCGGGCTTGTAGTAGAGTGTGTTGTAATTGACCATTTGTTGCTTGTGCTTACTCGCTACTCATAATCCACGAAGCTATCCTACTTGAACCCCAAAGGAAGGTGTTGGGCCTTTGGAGTTGAAGGAATAAACTTCATCAAGGGGTAAAAAAGTTTGAAAGTTCCAAAATATGACTGTCATGTTTTTGTTCTCAAAATAAGAATAATTACTGCTAAGTTTGGAAAATAATGTTATGTTTAAAATCTTACACTGCCAAAATATAACAGTAATTAGTCCTAATTTAGAAATAAAAATATGATAACCTATTTTGCTATATATAAGGACAGACTTTGCTCGAGCACACGTTCAAATCTTAGAACAGAGGGTTAATTACGATGTTATTCCTCATTGGAGTTATTAAGTTTTGTTGGAGTGATGATTTAAAAAAATAAGGACAGACTTTGCGCACTCTCTTTCTACAATACTGGACACATTTGTCCTCTCCCCTTCAAAGAGTACTACCTCCGTAACATATATATCTTCCCATTAAAAGTAGGTGATATTAAGAATAGTGAAAGAGAATATAAATTATTGAGGGTATGATGGGTAGATAATGAAATAATGTGTTGGAATGAAGGATAAATCCAATAGTAGTAATTGTAATAGAGTATTATTTTCAAAATTATTGAGGGTTAATGACAAGATTTAGAAATCGCCGAGAAGATAAGAATGTTACGGACGAAAAAGGTAAGTGAGATTGTGAGAAGATATGAATGTTAAAGAGGAAGTATTTGTTTATTTGTTGACCACTTGACCGTACTCTTTTATGAGTTTATGTACTCCGTATCGAATAGGAAGATTTCCCTGAATAAGATTAAATAAAAGGATAATTGCAACAATAGGAGTTTAATGTTTAAATTTTCAACTTAAGACTAACTCTTAATATTCTATCCTTTCCCTTGTCCTTCTTAATAACATTTTTAAATAATTATCATAAAAAAACAAAAAATAAAAATCGTAAAAACTAAATAAAAAATATACAGACCTCAACCACCACCTTAGCCACCTTCCAGCACCGCCACCTCCGGTCGCCGGAAAAGATTGCCAAGTTGGGAGAAAATTGTCATCGTGATGGCAATTTTGAAAAGAAAGCCGAATTTTTTGAAAGAGTAAAAATGTCATCTTTATGACTTTTGCAGAGAAATATGACATTTTTTACGTGAGATGACATTTTTTTCGGCAATCAGAGGCGGTGGAGGATATAGCGGTAGTGGCCTACATTTTGTTTTTTAATTTTTTAGGTATTTTATTTATCTTTTTAGATTCTTTTAAGTTTTTTAAAATATTTTTTATTTTTTAAAAATATTTTTATTTATTTTATTTTTTCCCGATTTTTTATTAATTGACAAATACTTTTACGATTTTTTATGTATTTATTATAAATAAAACTATGATTTTTTGTTTTAATAAATAAATCTATTACAAATTATAGGTTGGGGGTAGAATGGGAAGAAGAGACATATATTACTCCTATTTTGAGAATAAAAAGAGTATAGTCCTAATGTGGAATTTCGGGTTACTTTTAGTCTCATTTAGGGCTAATAGCCTATTAAGGATGTTTTTACTTGGATTGGACTGTTTTCAGTATCAAACCAGACGAGACTAGACTTCTGTAGTTATAAAATACAAAGAGACCAGCCATTTACCAGACCACACCAGACCAGTTCAGACTAGACCAAACAAGACTTAAACAGACCAGACCAAATCAGCAAATTACAGTCCAAATAAAAAACATCCTAAATATGTTTTTTTAATTAGACATCATTTGCTTAAATGTCCTCCATTAAATTTCTTGACAGATTTTTAATGTTTTGATCGTCATTTGCATTGCATGCACTATTTATTTGAACCTATTTATATATAGGGAAATGAAAATTAATAATTCCACCTTTTAGCGGTATTCTTACAATAATTCCACATAACTGTAATTCAAGCCCCACTATTGCACAACATATTCTTTCATCGGTCCCTGATCACTTGATGACCTATTATTACAAATTATTTTCTTTTCTTTGCAAAGCATTAAATTATAAATCTCACCTTTCACAAATTTTCTTTAAACGTTCCCACGTATCATTTTTCACAAATTATAAAAGTTTTCTCCTTTTTATCATCACAATGCTTTAATTGCTTTTTCTTCTTTTGTATTTTCATTTATTTACCTTGTTTATGTATTCCCTTATCCATTTAGCATAAGAATTTTTTATGGAATTTTTTCGATAGTTTCTCCATTTTTTGTTCTTTCCTTTTTATGCATTCCTATCCATTGTAGTCTCTTTTTGTAATTTTTTCCCGATTACTTGTTTATACTATTTCTTTGATTTTTTTAGAAAAAATAAAAATATCTTAGTGGTGGAATCAAGGTAAGAAAAGAAAAAACAAAATCTATAAGTGGAATTAAAAAGAAAGTAAAGCAAAAAAATAGTAGGGTGAGAAAAGGATTTGTTATAAGAAGGGAACTAATCTAAAAAAAATACATAAAAAATGTGAATGAAATAAGAGGTGATATTTCCTAAATATTTCCTCATCCGCCCAGTTGAAAGGTTCCCATGGCGGCCATGATACGGATTTTTCGGCGATTGATTAACTAGAATAGTTTGGATAAAAAAGAGAGGAAAGAAAAAATTTAGAAAAACTAAACGTGAAAGTACTTAAATGAAGATAAATTGGGGAATGAAAAATTGTGAGACTTGACATGTAATGAATATGATTTTTTTTAGTAAAGAGTAAAGATGTAATTAAAGAGAGTAAATTATTTAATACAATGGAATGAGAACCTTTAAATGGGACACCAAAATAAGTAAAGTGATAATCTTTCAACAAGACGAAAAGAATACTAATAAAAAGTCATTGACAAAAACATAACTTGATAACTTAATTGTGTTCAACGTTTACATCATAGTCACTATATCGTAATAACTTTGAACACGATTAGATAGTCACTAAAAGTTACCAAGTGATAATTTTTATTTATCTAAGTTTGATTTAAGATATGTTTATGATATTTTTTAATTGCAATGATTTTGATCTATATATTGATCATACCATAATAAATTTGAATAGTAAATTACACATTTGCCATCCGTTTACCAAATTACACTAACACACTTGACTAGGTTATTTTTTTAAAGATTAAATATGTAATATTGATGTCATACCAAAAATCACAAAAATAATTTAGAGGGTGTTTGGAATTGCTTCTGCTTCTTTTTTAAAGCAAAAGTAGAATCAAAATCAGTTTTTTGAAGCTGGTATCCCACCAGCTTCTAAAAAACTAATTCTAGGAATAAATTAGAACACCAAAATCACTTCTGCACTTTCACCCAAACACTCCAACTTCTTCTGCTACTTGAATTAGCAGAAACAGTTTTAAGAATAAGGTCTAAACACCCCATTAGTTTGATACGGAGTATATATTTTTTATAATATTTTAAAAAAATATGTTTCTTGACTTTCAAAAAAAGAAGACTTTTGCAATGTGACAGCAAATTATTGGATGAGTAGTCAAATCTATACTAATATACTCCCTCCGTATCTTTAAAATCTTCCCACTTTCCTTTTTTCTCCGTAACAAAAAATCTTCCCATTTCTAGAAATGGAAATAAAAACACTCCAACTTCTCTATTCTACCCTCAATTATACGTTCTGAATTACCCTTGTTACCCTTAATTTTGAATTTGAAAACATAGTGTGTCCAAATGCCCATCAGTTCTCGGCCCACTTATCATACCCTACACGACGTCCAAATTGACGTGATGCTGCAGTCCCAACCCTACCTCTTTCCCGACTTCATATCTCAAGTATCAAGCATCCCGCCTTCTTACACTTGCCTGAACCCATCTTTGCCGCCTCTGCTCTCATGGAATCTGAAAAAACAAAGAGCTCGACTGCCTCTGCAGCTGGCGACCATGGTGCACTCCCAGCGTCGCCCTCAGAGGCAGACGGTATTCAGTCTCCGGCCGTCGATATCCTTCCCGCTGGGGATTTGCCTTCACTTACCCCTCCGCTTGACGATGGCGAGGCTTTACTATCTGATTCAGAAGGTTTTCCTTCTCCGGAATGGTACCTCTCTCCTTCTGACACCGACGATACTGATCCGACTTGGAAATGGAGGAAACGTTATGAGGGATTGATTGAACCCGACAGTGACGACGGCTTTGACGACCTCGAGAGCCGGTGGATTGCGGTTACTTCCAAAAGGGCAGCGACGCCAACCCCTGTGGCTACGGCGGACGAGGATGAAGGATTGCCATAGGGGAGTTCTTACTGCCTAATTTCATTTCTTTGTTGTCCAATAATTGCATGTTTGTTTTAGGTTCTACTGTAGGAACTTTGTGATGCTTATGTCGCCTGATTTCGGTCGTGTACTGTATGTGCTATTTGAATTGTTTGCTGCTGATTTGTACTCAGTTCAGTCATGTAATGTCTGTGATTAATAAACCTTGTGATGTTTCTCTGAGGTATATTGGCCTTAGTAAAGCAGTGCACTATCTGTGTTGAAAAAAACAGTGTTATGACTATTTTCTGAGGTTGTGTAGCATTAGTTTTCTCATGTGTAGCCTGTGATGAATCTGGTCTGAGGCATAATTTCAAACCGTGCAATGGTATGTTGATGGTGGTAAACACTTTGATCGGTTTGGATGTGTATTAAGTGTGAGTGAACTGATGTCCAGCCTGTGAAGAATTCATTTCACCCCCATGATTAATTTGTGCACTTTGTCACTCATTTTTAGCCTGATTAATGTAGTGCACTGTATGTGATGATAAAAAGTGGTGATGACTATTTTCTGAGGTTGTGTAGCATTAGTTTTCTCATGTGTTGCCTGTGATGAATCTGGTCTGAGGCATAATTTCAAACCGTGCAGTGGTATGTTTACGTTGGTAAACACTTTGATTGGTTTGGATGTATATTAAGTGTGAGTGAACTGATGAAAAAGCCTGTGAAGAATTCATTTCATCACCATGACTAATTTGTGCACTTTGTGACTCATTTTTAGCCTGATTAAAGTAGTGCACTGTATGTGATGATAATTAAGACTTAGTAATCTGATTAAAGTAGCCTGATTAAAGTAGTGCACTGTGTGTGAGTAAACTGATGTCCAGCTTACGTAAACACTTTTAATTGTTATGATGCTTATTAAGACTGAGTAAACTGATGTCCCGTCTCTGATTAATGAAGTTCATCCATATGTGTCATTTGTGAACATTGTGAAGCTTATTTAGCTTGATTATACCAGTGCACTGTCTATGATGATAAAATGTTGTGATTACTGTGTTAAGAGATTTCGTGGCCTTGGTTTTATCTTGTCTTGCCTATGATGAGTGTGTTCTGAGGCCTAAGTTAAAACATTGAAGACGCAAATGTTACGGTAACTATTTTATGAGGTTATGTTGTACTGGTAGTATATTGCTTTATAATACTTCAACCATATTGTTTATTTGAATTAATAGACATTTATGGAGTCACCAGAGATAAACAATTAACCTCATTCATTTATTAATAACAATCCAAAGCAGTCCTAACGCATTACAACTGTCTAACATAAAGCATTACACATACATGAAATTTGCCTTCACATTCAGTCACACATTAAGAGAATGTGATATTTTAAGCAACGCCTCCTCATATATCTGCTTAGTCACACCAATTCTCTGAGGTAGTTGACCTTGCCTTTGTAAAGCTTCTTTTCCCAAATGCTGCAATTTGTAATTATTTCCTCCCCCGCACTGCATCACTTCTTTCATAACAGTTTGATAAGATAGAAACACCTTTTCTAGGGTTGTGGCTGAAAGTTCGTTAAAAGCTTCTTCCACATTTGCAACCAATTCAGGGAGTGAACTGCTAGGCTTTTGATCTTTTAGGGAATCAATTGCTCGAAAAAAACCTAGGTCTAGTATATTTAAATCAGGGCTGTTTGGTGGTTGGCATTGCAAAGAGACATTCCAATCATCAGTACTTGCTTCTCTATGAAAATCTTCATCGTCAATTAACATATGTGGCTTTGCATTATCTTGTTGAATGATGATGTTCCTATTGAGGACATCTGGCCATTTTTCTTTAATAGCAGGCAATAATCTGGATAGAAACATTTCCTTCATGACTTCCCGCGTTATCCTAGTGATAGGTTTAACTTCCAATGACCCTCTTGGCCTGTTTATACTAGATCGAAGAGCAGCCCCTACGTAAGTGAAAGGCCAAATTCCAAGCTTTCCGTCCCATAACACTTCCCCCCTTTCACTGAACCTAGGCCTACTCACAGCAGCTAAAAACATGATTTTTGGAATGAAATTCTTCGATTGAGCACTTCTGTATGGATCCGGTTCATCAATGGCCAAATAGTATTTCTCACTTTCTTTAGTCGTGTTAAACCACTTTTCATCTATGTGAATGTACTCATACATGTCTTTAAAAGTAGGATTCAATGGAATAGACTCAGGGGCAAGTAGACCAACACAATGTTGTAACCTTTTTACTTTACCGTTATCGGTTAATCGGGGTTTAAGGGAGTTAGTATGTCTTCTAACCTGTTTTTTTTGTAACAGCCTCCACATGGTCATGTGTGACATTCCCATTGCATAGGCAACTGATCTGAGATTTTTCCTAAATTGAAGTGGTATGTTTTTAAGCTTTTCTGAATCAAGAATTATACCTTTTCTGCCGGAATGACCTGTATACCTTCTGTCCACATTCACTATCTCCCCTTGTAGTATTTGTAGCTTAACTTTTGCCCATATAGAGTAGATTGTTCTCCTTGTGGTATTGAAGGTAGCAGCAGTTTCATTAATGATGCCTCTATGAAGTTTCCCCCCATTGTGTTGTTGCAATAGTTGTTGTGTAATTCGCTTCCTTTCTTCATTGGTCAATTTCTTTTTCCTTGAATGTAATGTGATTGGCTCTGGTGAGTTGATGACTGCTTCTTGAACATGAATATCTGCATTTGTATTGTTTGTTTCTTCATTAGTAACATTCTGTAATTCTTCTTGTGCATCTTCATTTTCTGCAATAGGGAAGTCATTGAGGTCAAGGAGGGGAGCATGGAGCTGCTGCCAAGTAAGAGGAGGGAAATTGTTTAGGTCTGGGATGCAAGAACACAAAGTACTTCTCATTTTTACTGCTCCTAGGTTTTTGTAGATCTCTTTGTGTTGAAATTCTTGTATATATACAAAAAATTCCTGGACTGTACTTTTAAAATGGAGGGAGTATCGAGTAGTTTCCCTCCATACTTCAATTTTTCATTTCAATTATTTCTGAGGTTCTGTACACATGTGACAAACTGTTTTGGACTCTTCCTATTAATTTTCAGACTGCCTGCACAAGGGCAAAACAGTCTTTTGTATTGTTGTCTGGTTACTGTAGATAATCTCACCCACTTTTGAAGTGGGAAGATTATAAAGATACGGAGGGAGTAAATAGGGAATCCTGTTGAAATAACTGTTCCCGCGGGTCATCATATAGAAATCACGCGGGCGTCATTATTTAACCAATCGTTGTGATTAAAAGACAAATGAAAAATACAATAAACTGCTCTACACCATTGTATGGACTTGTGCTTAATAAAATAATTAATAAACCGTGAAAACTACGTAGTAACGTAACTAACTTTCCCCATCTTCCAAACGGGTCTAGATACAAAAATGGGGCGGATAACTGGATAAGAATCCTGAAAATTTGATCCGTATTTCTACAGCTACAAGTGCAAGACTACACTCTTATATACGGAGTATATTATTTGGTGTGAAGAACAATTGTTGGTAATAATAAAGCACAAAGTGGCCAGTGTGAAGGTAAGGTAAGTTATGTATTGCAAATGTGTATCCTCAAAATATCAATTAGATTATTCGAGAACCGTGATACACAACATTTTCTAAATGCAGTGTAAATTAAAAACACAACATCAGAATATGAAAGAGATGATGACAAAAGAACATCAACATCTAGATCATCAAATTTACATAAAATAAATTAAAAAACAACATTTCTTTTACATAAATAAAATAAAGGGAAATTTACTATTAACCCCCTAAAGGGAAATCAACTAGTTACCCCATGAATTTGGATCATTCTCGTTTTTTGCCCCCTCACGTTAATATTTGTTAAATTTAAATTTAATATAATTCTTAAATTCAATGAAAAATGTCTATAATATTAATTTTAAATGTAAAACAAATTATTATCATAACTATAAGTCATTGTTGTTGACCGTTGTTTTTCTACTTAGCTACTCCATCTTGGAATTAATATTATTGAGAGGAATTAAGAGAAAATAATCACAAGTAAGATATAAAAATATCATGAATTTTTAATATTTTTATTTTAAAAATCAAATATCATCCAATCTTATAAAACGAATAAACTTTTTACACTCAAAAAATATTTTGTAAAGATAAAATCATCACAAATTAGTAACAGAGTTATTAACAATTTTTTAAAATAAATTAAAATATGTGATATTTAGGTTTAAGATCACACATTATATAACAAATTCTTTTTATGTATCCCATGAATATGACTCATGAGTTCCCCTTAACTACTCTCTTAATAGTTACTCCATGATCGAGTAGTTAAGTAGAAAAACAAATGATCATCAACAATGACTTATAATTGTGATAATAAATTATATTATATTTTAAAAATTAATTTTATATACAACTTTCATTGAATTTAAGAGGTATATTACACTTAATTTAACAAATATTAACATGAGGGGGGTATATAGTGAGAATGTTCAAAACTTAGTGGGTAACTAATTGATTTTTGAAAACGCAAGATTACATTAATAATTATGATATAACCTCAGGGGCTAATAATATTTTTCCCTAATACTAGTTTAAAAAATGAAAAACTCCTTATATGAAATGGATAATTGGGTATTGCACTATTGCCGTGTGACCGTGTCAATTTTTATTGAACTAAACAATAAGAGGGGTGCGCATACATAGGCGGCATAGGGTAATTTCCCATACTCCTGTATATTACGGTCATCGGGAAAGACAGTTTCACGGAATCGCTGAATAGAGAGAGGTCGAAGGCGCTGCGGAAGTGGGCGGCCATGGAGAATCTCAAGGAATCTGTGAACAAACCAGGTATACATCGGTGAGTTCAATTTCTCGATCTCTTCATTGCTCTGTGATCCGCGTTATTCAGTTGCGGTTGCTCGTATTCTGAAGATTTCTCCTGCAAACCCATTGTTTACTTGTTTGATTTGCAATTTCAATCTCTCTGCCTCTCTTCAACTACTGATCGTGTTTCCTTTGCTGAAATTTGATCTGTATAATTAATGATTTCGATTACTGGAGCAGGGGAAGGGGAAGAAAAGCCCCTCTTCGCCAAGTAGTATATGTCTCTAACGGACGGGCTGATATGATCACACGTCGGTGTGCACTGGCTGCGCTATCAACTATCAATGAGAAACTGGTGTGTTTAATTTGATCATTTTTCGGGCAGTATAATCAGCTCCACAAATTATTTGTTGTGATTTCACTATGCCCGCAGGATCTGAAATACAAGCTTGTTAAGCCAAAAGGGTGTATCCACTGCCCAACTCCATCGAAGCACAGGTTCTTCTACCATTGCAACTTTGTTGCAAGGCCTGAAAACGGAAGTGACGCTGATGATAAGCTCTTTTTTGCGGAATTAGAGGGGAAACAAGAGAAGCTTGGCGACCAAATCACTCTCACCCTCCTTTTCTCACGCATTTTGGGGCCCTGTGATTCTGAGGAAACAGATCCCAACGACTGTGAATTTTGTGCAGCTCTTCCAGCTTGGGTCAAACATCCTAAAAGCGGTGGATACCACAAATATGTTGAGCCGTTTTGTGGTGATGGAGTAGTAATTAGTAAATAAAAACATTAATTCCTATTTTTGAATTCACAATTCTTTGGAAAATACTCTGATTAGTGCCAAAGTAAAGTAGTAGTTAGTCCTACATTTTAGGGAATTTTAGGGAATAAGAACACAACACTCCTATTTTGGAAAACGTTTTTACTCTATTTTGAAAAGTCTGCCATTCCTTTTAATCTTTATTTTTAGAGTGACAATCATTGAAACATACCTTGAAACTTGTCAAGAGCTTTGATCTCAAAGAGGAAGAGAGCATTTGAAACTTAAACTTATTTTTGAATAGAGAAATAATACATATAGAAGATGTTATTAACTTCAAAATTATATATAAGCATTTAAATAAATTTCCAATTATTGTGGTTAATATATTGAGCATATACTTAGTTTCTAACGTTTTCACGTGCAGCCATGAAGTTACAAGTAATTATATTTGCTTGAGTGTAAGGGGTCTGGAATATAATACAAGTATAAAATAATTTAGTGTGGTCCGAAATATAATACAAGTATAAAATATGTTGAACCTAATAGCGGAGCTAGACTTGAGTGTAAGGGGGGTTGGAAGATAATACAAGTATAAAAATATAACCTAGGGTGAACAAAAAGTATCAGAAAATATGTTGCTGACGTCGGACTTTCAGTTATAAAGTGTACTTTCTGGTGGACAAGTTCCAAAATGACACACGTAGTAGTTTATTAGTTGCAAGACCAAAATTACAAGAGAGCGAAATTGCACGATTAGTATAACGGTCATACACTACAAAAAAAACACGCCTGTAGTCACGGACTTTAGTCACGGATATCGTCCGTGACTAGCCTAGTCACGGGCTAGTCACGGATTTTTCAAAACAAATATTAGTCACGGAAACGGCCGTGACTACGTCCGTGACTACGAACCGTGACTAAATTCCTCCGGTAGCCCCGACCTCGTCGCCGGTTTGTCCGTTTTTATTCCGGCAATGTAGTCACGGATAAATCCGTGACTACAGTCGTGACTAAAAAAAATTTATTTTTCCAGCACCCAGAGGGCTTAATTCCCAACGGTATTATGTACGGAAAATTTGTAGTCACGGACATTTCCGTGACTACAACCGTGACTAAAACGAATAAAAGTAGTCTACATATGATTTACACGTCATTTACACGGTTTGGACGCGCAATGTACACGTATTTGCCTAGATACGGACAAATCCGTGTCTAAGTCCGTGACTAGTTTTTTTATATATGCAGAACCTGCTCATTCAGCAAAACCACACCAACTCATTCCCGGTATATACAGTATCTATTTGAAAGATCCAAGGTCGAAGCATGTAGTCTATCTTATGTCATTTTTCCCGTTTATGCAGATAAGGTATGTTATTTGAATTATTATTTTTTATTTGGAACTACTTAATTACTCGCGGTTGTTAATTAACTAACAGTATATTTAACTAGAAACGTGGTTATGTCGTAACATTAGTTAAAGTTTTAGGTTTAGAGAACAATTTAATTAAAATTAGTTAGCTAAACGTAGGTTTAAACGTAGTGATGAGTTAATTAAGTTAAATTAGTTAGCTAAACGTAGTTTTAATTTAAACGTAGTGCTGCATTAAGTAAAATTAAGTAAAATTAATTAGTTAAACGTGGGTTTTAACTAATTAAGTTAGATTCGTTAAACTTAATTTTGATAATATTAGTTAGATTTAAATATTAGTTAATTAAAATGTGTTTAAAAAAATGTTGTTAATTAATTACCGAAATGAATTAGTTAAATTTAGTTAAACGTAGGTTTAATTTAAATGTAGTGTTAATTAAATTACTTAATTTCTTTATAACATTAGTTAAATTTAAGTATTACATAATTACTTATATTTTGTGCATTATTATTGTCAATTGTGTGCATTTCATTTAATTTAGTGAAAATTAGTTAGTTGACTATTTAGTGAAATAAAATACTTAAAATTAGCTAAACGTAGTATTATTGTTACATTAATTACCTTTGTTTTGAGCCTGTATAATTTTTTATTATAATATTCAGGCATAATGTATCAACGAAATAGAAGTTGGATGTATGATAAAGATGCGGTATTGTACGGATTGCAATCAAATTTTCTCGATGGAGTCGGGGAATTTATTGAATTCGCACTTGAACATCCGGCTTATATGAGTGGTGATAAAATAAGATGTCCATGTTCAAAGTGTAAAAATCTCAAATTTAAAGAGCCACACGAAGTTGGGTATGATTTGTATGCGGTCGGTTTTGTTCCCAATTATTATAATTGGACTTCTCACGGCGAACCTTTGGATCCATCTGTTATACCACAAACGGTAGGTTCGTCTCGTTACGTCCCTCCAGAGATGAGTGGGTGGGGAGACCGTGTTGAAATGAGGTGGGAACAACAAATGGTATATGACGCATACGGTGTACCGATGTCTCAGTTCAACCCCCCACAACCATCACTACTAGAAAACTGGCTTATAGTGACACTTTTATAGTGACACTTTTTTAAAATTAGTGTCACTAACAAAAATTTAGCAAAAAAGTGTCACTAACTCATGACACTATGATATCATCAAAAATAGTGATACAAGATGCAAAATTTTTAATTCCCTCCACAATTTTCAAGCCATTATTTTTCACACTACTTTCTTGGACCCACTACAACAATACATTTTTTCCTATACAATTCAAGCACATAAGCACATAACTTCTTCCACGTTTTTATTTTCTTGGTCCAAGCCAAGCCCATACGCACAAGATATGTTCAACCTGCGACTCAGACTCCTCAACCCTAGCCCCTGCGTTTGAAGATACATGAAGTGACGAACACGAGACTTGATCGACGCGTGCTTTCCTCGCCCTCGCTAAACCATAGAGAATAATCTGCGATGACCGTGGGTTTAGGCTCCATCTCAATTTCTTTTGGCGTCACAACCTCCAGGCCTTCTCTGCTACCTCGCTTATCGCTGCGCTCAAGTTCTGGGTAGTGGGATAATGTCTTCGAATCCAACATCCGTTGCTGGTAATAGGACCGGCGGATCCAACGAGGCCTCTTCGCTCCCTTAAGTTGCACGATCCCTTAAGTTGCAAGTTCTGTTATAGCTTAACATTCAAAACCAGTTTTTTTGTGACTTATGAATTGCTTTACCGTGAGTTCATGACTATTTATTGTCTTTCTCTTGTTCACAAATATTCAGATTATGTTTATTCAACTATTTGCATCCAATTTCAGATATTGAAGAGGATATCAGGGCATTTCGGCTCGATTCATCTGGTATATTTCCATCTCTAAGACCATCTGCCTACTTTGTATATAATACCGAATAAAGAATATACTTCCACTACTAATTCATAAGATGCCTTGCTAATCTGGTTCAACTGTAAATAAGTAGGCATTTTTTTAGTATTAGACAAATTTCAAAGATTGTGATGCTTAACATATGCTTGTTTTGGACTTTTCCCTTGTGGCTTCTTTGTAGCAGAAGATAAAAATTAATATCAGAAGATAGAAATGAATATCAGAAGATATTTATTTGCGGTAATATCACAAGTACATGTTCATTCTTTACATAGAAAACTGAAACATTTAAATGAAATATGATTTCATTTAGGTTATACTTTTACTTGTGGTAATTTATTTGTTGTCTTTTGTCATATATGTATTGAAAGAACCAATGAATAGCTTTTGATGTAAACTGAAACATTTAAATGAAATATGTTTTCATGAATTTCTTGACTTCTATCACACTTTCTCTTTGGTTAGTAAAGAAGTGTGGGGAGGATCAGAAAATTTTAAAACTAAAGCCTTCTTGCACTCACGAACCATTTCATGATAAAGGCATAAAACAGAAAATGAAAGGTCTGCCGCTCCGCCCTCCTAGGCGACACACAGCTCCACCGCTCCACTTCTCCAAGACGGTGCACCCCACTCCAAGATGACACGCCTCACCAACACTCTGCCGCTCCTAGACTCCAAGTCGGTGTTTGTTTGTTCAGTATATTACATGGAGTCTATGAGACTTGATAAGCACAGTTATACAACAAAACTGGTGCAAATTATCAAGCAGTGTATAGAATATTTGCAAATGACTAGAAACTCTTTTGCTTACATCTTCAAGATATTTCAGGTAAGTGCGTGGTTATACTTTTAATTTCCCAGCCTGTTATTGTTTTTTTCACATTGTGAATTTTCTGATTTTAAGTACAGCTTTTGGTGCTGTTTTTTATTTCCATGACACTGTTTTTTCGATCTGAAATGAAGAAAGATAATGAGACTGGTGGACGAATTCTCTTGTTTTGTTTACTTCTCTTTTTGTAACATAACTGCTATATAAGTATGACCAACCTCTTCGCTTAATTTCGATTTCATGGCAGCCAAGAAGATGAACTCCAAGTAGCAGTCAGTTAGGCTTGACACGAGTCGAACAGGTTGGATATCGAACCATATAAGCGAATTTCATATCTTTAAACCCCTTAAAACTATGATTCCTTTTGTTTTTTGCCTAGCTCGTATCTTCTTTTGATTTTCTACTACTTATGACTTTGTTTATGCTTCAATATTTCCTTGTTTCAGGAAAAATTAAGAAAAAGTGAACGATTCTATTTTTGGTACTTCAGTTTTGATTTAGCTTTTCATCTTTAATAGTTATTTAATATAATGGTTCAGGTACTACTTTTTTTTTATGTTTGATACTGGTTTATATTCTAAACAATATAAAAAGTTGTTTGCCATAGACTGAGACACTGAGTCATTCAATTTTGATTTTAACTTTTGGGTTTCATGATGATTCATGGAGATCATTTTTATGGTGTCAAGGTATGAGCTAAACATTTGGAACAGCCAGATGCATATCACCATCACTAATTCATCTCAAGTGAAATTATGAAAAGTTTGCTTCCTAATCTGGTTTTTTTTTTTTTTTGCATTAACAGTTTGCTTCTATGAACAAAGCATATTAGGACAGTTTGTGAGACTTTTTTTCTTACAATCTTCTTACTGATCTGTTTAGGTTTTAGCAAATCTAAAACCCATTGTTCCTCTATCAGGAGATAATTAGGGATTTTCAAAGCTTCAGGCCATATAATCCTTTCAGCATTTAAGGGATAGGAAGAATACTTTTTTATGTGGTGTGCTAGTTGTTGGCCCGTGCATTGTATGTATGTTATACAGATTGTTTCTATTAATTTCATATGTCACAACATCATCTTATAAACACTATGGTTAT